AAGGAAATATTATTATTGTATAAAGAAAAATTATGATATAATATGTCATTATGCGTGTGCTATAACACGACTCAGGAAGTAGGGTGCATGATGAAGATGATTATTTGAAAAGCACTTTGATTATGATCATTTTATTTAAAAATATTATTATAATATTCCATCGTTGTAGGAACGATTTAGGTTTGATACCACGTTGTAGATAAGTGCGCCTAAGTGCATCGCCACAGTGTAGTCTATTTCATATTTTCACAATATATAAGGCTTCTTAAAGTATGAATCTCGGGCCGCTATCTCATATTATAACAATGGTGCGGCAATGGCGGAATTCTCACAGACAAGTGCGCCACGTACCCTAACGGTGGAGTTTGTTTGCAATTCAGTGATTTACAGAGCTCCAGCTTGCAACAGAATAAACGTGAAGTTGTATGAAACGGTGCCCTGTTACACCGTCGCGTAGATAATTTTTCGGTTGTAATTGGTAAGGTACATAATTAGTATTTCGTATCTCGTCAAAATTTCCGTATGTTGATAATAATAAAGTTACGAGTTAGTTTCTTTTGCGTGTTCGTTCAGGCCTCACGATATTTTTTTATAGAATAATAGTGGCAAAGGAGCGTGTGCGCTACCTGATGGTAAGTGAATTTTCTGGCCTTCAGATATCTACATCTGTCTTCGATTAAGAATGCCGATGCGTACCCTTGAGGAATAAGATGGAATTGTCTTCGTTCAGCAAAAAGGGGCAATATAATACAAATAATCCAAGACTCAGGACAGACTTGTGAAGTAAAGCAGTACCAAAACTGTCAGACATTTGGTATTGTGCTCGTCCGTCCATCTAAGTATGGCAATAACAGCAAATATTCCCTTTTCCTACTCAAATTGACATGAAAACTGTACGATTTTTTATTATTGTTGCTTAAAATACTAATTAGAATAAGTAGATAGTATTTTCTTTCTTTATTTATTATGCAGTATCGAAAGTGATGATGGTTTTAAGCTATCACTGTCAGGTACTTAATCAGCCTTGCCTTGCCTTCTTATACTTCAAAGTACGCGCATTAAATAGCCGACCGACTAGATTATAATGCCGATAATTGAATTTAAGGACGTGTATTCTAATCAAAATGATTTCAGTGATTTTATGTTAAGAGTTTGAGCTAATGATAGGTATGATTAGATAAAAATAAATATTAAATATAAAATCAAATACTCTGGCACATTACGCGATAGTCACGCTGCAGCTATATAATGGTTGTAGTACGAATGGGTCGGCTCGACCGGGGAAGGACCATACCACAGAATAATAGCGTAAAATAGCAGCTTAATGCTGCTGTATTTTGTATGGTGAGTGTAGAGAATGTGAATCTTTCTTGAAACGAGGCATTCTATCTTAGATGCTGCTGCCCATCTCCTGGTTCAGTGTCCCTCTGTCGCCTCTTACGACACCCACGGGACGACATGGGATATTCTTAAACCGTCGCTACACGCTTACATGATTAAATATCCATAATTTCCATTATTTTTCCTAAAATGTGAAAATTATATTTAATACGTAGTTACACTACTTTGTAATAGAAAGTCTTGTAGAATAAATATTAGTTGAACAACGCACCGCTTCGAGTGAGATAGCGGCCGTACTTTATTGACTTCCTTTGATTTATCAACGGTGTTTCAATGAATCTATGAAATTATAATCGAAATTCTAATGTCAATACTGAAGCTTGTTAAATGATTACATTCTAACGGTATATACTATGGAAATATGGTCGTAAATAATGCACAGATTGAAAGGGATACGACAGATGATGCGAATTGCGGTAATAAAGGATAGTGAAAAACATGTATTATGGCTTCAGACAGGTATTGATTATGGCAGACATAGTTGAAATCCAGAATATTGAGCAAAAAATAGTAATTTACGTCATTTTTTGTAGAAGAGGGGGCAAACGAGCATACGGTTCACTTGATGTTAAGTCACTACCGCCGCCCATGAATATCCGCAATACTAGGGGAATCGAAGGTGCGTTGCCGGTTCTTTAGAAAGGAGTAAGCTCTTTCGTCCCCACGTATCGGTCCGGAAAAATCGCCGGTGGTAAACTATTCCACAGAGAGGTCGTACGCAGAAGAAAACTCCTAGTGAAAGGTACAGTGGTGGACCACCAAGCATCCAGATGGTGTGGATGGTATCGGAAGGTTTACCACGTAGTGCGTTCATGAAGTTTGGCGGCAGAGATTAATCCGAACAATATCTCAGAGCAGTCCCCGTGATAGATGCGATAAAATACGCAAAGTGATGCAACATCTGTTCGCAGCGCCATTGAATCGCACTGATCCGATTCGAGCAGCTCCGCGCTGGATGCGGTGAAATGGAAGGACACTGGGGAGCCCCAGCCCAGAGCTGGGAACAGTGAACAGGGAACCTGCACTTTGTAAAGTTGCAGGCGGTGTGTCGGCATGAAAGACTGTCCCGCTCTGCTGAGCACGCCAAGCATTTTAGAGGCCAATTTGGCCTTCTGTTTCAAGTGACCACGAAACTGCACGTCACTCGATATGTCGACGCCGAGGATTCCGATACTGGCCGAGGCAACAAGGGGAGTGCCTTGAAACTGAGGAGATACGATAAACGGGTTCTTTTCATTATTTTTATATAAGGGTGATAAATGAGTTCAAAGTACTTCTAAAAGAAAAGCTCACGGTGAAGGGACTACTGACGCGCATGGACATCCTTAGTCAACTTTGAACAAAGAGGGCTGGCCTCAAATACGTTGTCAACCCTTGGGATTACGATAGAATGGCTCACTGCCTGTAATAATATTGGCTGACTCTTCGAACCTGTAACACAACGGTAGGTTCGCGGATTTTAGACTCGCATCTGCTTTTTGATTCTTAATCGAGGATAGATGTATATATGTCTATGGGCCACAGCATCCAATTACCAACAGGTCGACTGTGTGCTCGTCTGTCACCCACAATCTTAGAAAAAAAATTTATCACCCCATTTCATCCGGGAGGTGTCGTAAGGGGCGCCTAAGGGGCATGCAAAATGAGTGTAGTTTCTAATAGATGGCGGTATTAGCATTTCGTTTACGCCAGGCTTAAACACCCGGACGGGATGCGAGGCAGTGTCAAACGTGCGCAAAGTCTGGTACTGTCAATATATCAATCAGTTAAAGCCGGACGACTAAGACAAGTATTCTCTTAGATATGAGAGACCCATGTCTAGCCATGGACATTTATGGAATTATGAAGAAGAAGAAGTACTACATACTGGTGATGGGAAGGAGCATTAATAGTACATAGGCTCTGTAAAGTAAGTACGAACAACTATATTATATAAAATACATAAATGTTTTTGCATTTTAAAAAGATAAAGTAACGCAGGAGTATTGTTTAAAACAATATCCTCCTGGGCAATTTAAGACCCCAACGAAGAATTTCCAAATAATCGGGAGCTATTTACTGCGCAGAAGATATTGTAGTGGCACAAGTGTACTTGCGAATAACTATACAAGTCACAGTGCCTGAGACATAATAAAATTATTAGATATAAACAATACATAAAGTTGCAGCCTATAAACGTCCACATGGTCACAAGTCTACTTTCATTTAAACAAACAATTAATCAATTCATACAAATGTCGACTCAGCCTAGGAGTCAAATCCAGGAACTACGCCATAGCAGGTACTCGAGGCCAAGTGGTTAGTTAAAAAGTACAGGAAACGTTTCTCAAAATACATAAAATCAATACTTTATTGAAAATGAAGTTATAAAACAGAGGCAATCACTGATAAAATTTCATTTCCTGTTATAAATTGAAGTACATGCACTTTGATTGTTAAGTATAAAACAGGTACAAAACTAGTTATAGAAGGGTGGAAGTGGAGTCATACAATGGCTGCACATAACGTCTTCGTGATCTTGCTAGGGACAATGGGCGATTACGTATTTGTGCATAGATATCCACACTTTCAGCGTTTGGCGCAAACTAGAAGCGTTCGCGGTTAAGGTGCTATGTATGCAATAGACGCTGTATAAATTGTCATTGGAACTTTCATTACCAAGTCACGACTGAATATAATTATTATAGAAGCGATAAACTTGAACGATAAATAAAATGACTTTTCCAATCTACGGATTTATCTAATCTAATTCATTCGAAAGTTACGTGTGTATAATCTTTAAAGCACTTACTGTATCACCGATCAATTAAAATGTCAATAACATTAGTATGTATTTCGATTATAATTTGATTTCATAGCAATCATTTGGAAGTAACGCTTCTCTTGAATTTCATATTGTGAAATAAAATTTGATGAATAGATTGGTACAGTTTCGCCCAAAGCGTCATGTTTAAATTACAGAACTACGAAAGAGAAATCCACCAAAGAGTATCAACAATAAGTATTAGAATGCAATGTACACAGTGTAGTGCAAACAATTTTATCGTTGATATTACAACATTATCGTCGTCGCTCAAAAGGTCCAAATGGTGAGATAGCACTCCGAAGCTTTTGAATTAAAACTGTACATTGTAGCACGATTTCAATAAATTTGTTAAAGTGAAATGAAGCCATAATTCGATCCAATGGTAGTACAATCTATGCTAACATTTATATTTACTCAGTCCCTAAGTGACTTTATTTGTATGTAATCTAAAACGTTTATTTGTTTTTATGAATTTTTCTAAGTGACATATAAATACTATTGAAGAAGTAAACTAAGTACAACTCAGACTCTTTGGTCACCTATATTCTGATATTGTAACGTACTTTTACGAACTTTTCTGTTTTTCTACGTATAGGATTAAAACAGCACCCTAGATTTTGCGAGCTTGAACGTATTTGAAGAAGATGAAAAAGGTCAATACTTAAACATGTAAGATTTATATTTACATAATAAATTATATTTTTTAATAAGACCATAAAATCACGTTTATGAAAAATTAACCACCTTCAATTGTTTTAACTTTTACGTAAGTACAGTGAAAGAAATAGCTTACCTCCAGCTGTAGCTTTCAAATTTCCAACCATGGTGCCGCTTCTAACGTCTTCTCTGACTCGGAAATTGTATCTGGGTTTATCGAATAACGCTGATCCAACACCAGTGGGCATGACGTTCACATGAACCATCGCATTTTGAGGAGCAGCGAGTCCACCGCCATCGGTGGCTGATATTTCTAAATTAAATCTTCCGTTTGCTTGTATCAAAGCAGGTTTTGTCACAAATATCTCTCCTGTGCTTCTGTCTATTCTAAACACGTCGTTATCATTTCCATTGATTATTCTATAAGTGACTGTTCCAAATCTTCCAGAATCAGCATCGGTGGCCGTAACTGCGACTATCGGTTCATTTGAGGTTACCCTTCCCTCTTTTAAAGATACGTTGTAGTCCTTAACAGCAAATGCGGGAACGTTGTCGTTGATATCGAGCAGTTGGATCTTCACCATAGCGGTCGTCGACAGGCCCCCTGCAAATATATAAATAATTGGTCCCTTGATTGTTTGTGTATTGTTGTAATGTTATGTTTAATTGACAGCGGCTTGATTTATGCTGATGTCAACGCGTTTTCGTTGTGTACGAGTTTTGAGATACAAACTTCGTCTTTATGTTGGAACTCAACAATAATTTAATTGATGCATATTCTTTTAATGCGATTGCGAATAAACCAGTTCTCATTGCAAGCCAACTTTACATAGCACTGTGACAGAAACAAGGAAACGGAACGCATTTCACTGATTAACGAGAATCCTTAGCACGGGGACATGAAAACACAAATTCTTAAAATTTATTACTTTTAAAGAACCCTTGAAACAAGATATTGTATTTTACTAAGTCTAGATTTAACTCACCCACAATATGATTTAAAATGATATCGTTTCAGAATTTATTTTTATTTTAACTAACAATCTATTGAATAAAACCATGTTTTTTTTATTACCTAAAGCGTGTATATTAATATGATATATTTACACAGACCAAACTTTGACAAAGTTAAACTTTCTACGTTGTTGTTAAGCACTTCTTGAAAAGCTTGAAATACCTTATATTTAACCAATTTTGTTAAATCAAGATGTCTGTTTACCTATTGAAAGAAATTACAACCGAATTTTCCTTTCCCAGAGGAACGGTTGCCGACCGTCAGATTGGCCAAAATAAAAACCAAGGTATGTAATAGTTGGAAGCTTCGCGCCCCATAAATCAGTTGGTTAGTAGAGACAACAGCCGACGGACGCTTTTGGAATTTATTCGCGACTTGCAGTGTCGTCGGCGCTTTATTTTTGAAGCTCTGCGTATGGATTTATGGTCCGCAATGTTTCCACCTGTCGGTATTATTTTAAAGTTTCTTCTTTTATACGCTTGTGAAAGAAATGTACATCATTTCTGCGTATCTTTAGTTTTATAGTATGTTATATTATGTTATACTGGTTTTTTCTTCGGGTTGAATGGATGAATGAATATACTTTATTGTACACCACAAACAAATTTACAAAGAACACAACAAAGAGCAGATTACATGTACAATTTGGCGGCCTTATCGCTACATAGCGATCTCTTCCAGGCAAACTTCGGGTTGCGATGATCCGTTATTATTTTCATAATCATTCATTGCAAATTTCAACTTCAAAGCATAATAAATAGAAAGAAGTAGCTTATTATTTCATTGCGAATTTTCACTTCAAAGCAGATAATAACTAGAATAAAGTAGCTTATTATTTGAAGCGCTAGTTAAGCCATAACGTACTAAAACTTTGGTATTTAGACTTAATAACATCTTAGTGATGAAGCACTCAGTATTCGCAGAAATATTTATAACAAAATATTTACCTCTATCTGTTGCAACTACGGGGGAATTCAAAGTCACTATTGGCTTCGTGATCAAGAGGCGCGGCGACACAGAGTTCCCCAGTGTCAGGTTTTATGGTAAATTGTGATCTAGCCACAACTGTCTGCTCCGGTAGAGTGTAGTTCACGATCGCATTCACGCCGCAGTCTGGATCTATCGCCGACATCTGTAAAGAGAAAATAGCGTATGTTAGACAAAAAAAAATTTTCAAGTTATTTTCAAATATTGCATTACAAAACAATGCATTACAAAACATAAGTTGTTTAAAAGTAAAGTCGGTAAAAATACGAGTTAAGATGCATTAATATATAAGCCTAAATTTAATTTAAAGAAAATGTGCATACAATTTCTTTAAATTAAATTTGGGCTTAATTAAAGCCTTAATAATAAATTTCAAAACTACCACAAATTAAAAATAACGTCAATTAATAGCAATAATCCCATTGTCCTAATACTTACATTTGTATTAAGATAAAAATTTATTTACTGCAATATTATAATGCATTAAGCTACTAATAAAGGATTAGTTTTATTCAATTCAATTCAATTTATTTGCTGTTCTTTTTGTATACATTTGGTCTTAATTATAAAAATAGCTGTGTGCCTCTAAATATCGATAATTTTTTCAATAAGTTTAGTATCGTTTTAGAGTATTAGCTTGCTCATTAGTTTATTACTTTCCTTCATTTTTCACCTTTCTTGAAATAATTAAAAATAATCGTTTTGAGTCTTATAGTATATAATGTTCTGGGAAGTAGACACGAAAATACGTAAAAAGGCACTTTAAAAATTAATTGAAGTCACCTTTAGTCTATTGTTTCAATTAACAAGTGGTAAAATAAAAAATGTGTACAACCGACTTCAATATAAATAAAATGAGAACATCATCAATGTAGTTGAAGTCAATTAAATACGCATTTTTAAGGATAACTCAAAAACCAATCATCAGATCTTGATCAAATTTATATAGTATATGACACTATATAAAAAACTAGCTTTCGAATCAAAAAAGAATTATCAAAATCGGTACACCTAGAAAAAAGTTCTGAGGTAACACACTTAAAAAATACAGTCGATTCAGTACCTCCTGATTTTTGAAGTCGGTTAAAAGGTTATGCGAACACACCGATTGAAGATTTCCACCATCTAAGTAAGATATCAATTCCCTCTCTACAAACTTTCTACAGACAGTTAAGCAGCAGAGATAAGAATCATGAATAATTAGAATCGTTTAACTCAAAACACACTAATCAAGTGGCTGTGCGGTCCTTCTCATTATGATGATGGTATTTATGGATGTTTATAGGACTTTGGAATTCCGCCTGTTCTTAGTTCCTGGCCTAACGGTAGCCCAACAGTATTGTTGAATGTTTTCAGAAAGCATAAGGTTATTTGCAATAGTCAGGTAGTAATTTGTTTATTGGAAAGGTCACCGCAACTGTTTCTGACCTTTATTTGCAGGGTGTTAAAGTTTAATATTATTGTTTTTAATTTCTTCCTTTTTTAATATAAATTTTATTAGAAAACTTTTCTACACATTTGACAATAGGATAAAAGTATTTTTAAGGATTTTATTAACGCATGAGTAACCTGAAATGACAATGAGCAGGCCATATGGTTTGAAAAACCGACAACCGATGCGGAAAAAATCGATTAACATAATCGATACAAATATTAGAATGACAATTTTAGTAAGCGAAGAACTCATATTATGCATAAAAGTCCACTTGGGTAGGAACCACTCGTAACTAGTTCTACTGACTTTTGAATAGAATTGCCTGCACTGCAGTGTTTCGGTCTGGAGGGTATAGAGCTAGGTTTAATTACAGGCTGTGTGGTATATGATGACTATGCATCTTTAGCCCCCGGTGTGAAGTTGGTTGCTGGTATACAACGTCAGCTTTTTATATGTGGTAGAGTCACGCTGCAGCTATATTACGGTTGTAGCACCAATGGTTCGGCTCGACCGGGGAAGGACGCTCTGACAGAATACTAGCGTAATACTGCTGTGTTTAATATGGTGAGTGTAGAGATCTGGAGACCCTTTTTTACTGGAAACGAAGCATTCCATCTTAGTCCTCAGGGGTGACAACACTTCTGCGTTTTGATTCTTAATCGAGGAAAATGTAGATGTCTATGGGTCACAGCATCCACTTACCATCAGGTGGACTGTGTGCTCGTTTGTCACCCTTATTCTAAAAAAAAGCAGCTATTTACCATCAGGTGGACTGTAAGTTTATTTGCTGATTTAGCTTTACTTATTTGAAAAAAAATACCGTGCGATGGATGGGGCTGCATTTAAAATGTAGTTTGATACTGAATCTTCAATCCCTTTAAGATCTTAAACTTTATTTATGAATGAACTATTATAGACTGATAAATAAGCGGTAGAGACATGCTGCAGTTATTTTATGGTTGTGCCACAGATTGGTCGGCTGGACCGGGAAAACTCCGCGTATATCGTCTCGGAGTTTAGAGAAACGGAGAACTTTTTTTACTAGAAAAGAAGACGCGTTTTGTATTTTGATTCTTAATCGAGAATAGATGTAGATGTCAATGGACCACAGCATTAATTTGCTAGAAGGTAGACTGTAAAAAATTCTATGTAAAAATATTTTACTACCGCAAATTTGCATATAAATTTTCAATAGAAATGAATATAATTTAAAAAAAAACTTCAGTATAGACTTCATGCAATAAGTTATTTAAAAGTTCATTTTTCCTTTAATACTGTTTCTTAGAACCTCCATCTTGGAAAGAACCAGCAATATTTGTCGTGTGAATTATATTTTTTATACATACATATATTTACAATTATTTGAAACGTGCGGTAATCGAACTCACGGCCTGCAGCAGCGCTTCCAAACATTAAGCTACTAAGCTATCGCCCCGTGGGAAGTGTATTATTGCCAATAAATTCCTGAGAAATTATATCAAATTTTTAAAAATATCTAAATGTTTTCAATGGACTCCTTTGTCGCAGAAGCTAAATGACTGTTGCACCGTAGGTGTTAAGTGGTCAAAAAAAAAAGCACAAGACTGTCGATAATTAGCAAGAAATCATCTTTTTCCCTTATCAAGTGAGTACTGTATACGGACTGCAAAACGACGCATTACCTACGCGAAAATATACTATCGATGGTCACCCTTAAGACTAGGTAATACAGGTTAAAATTACTTGGACTATATTGACAGTTATGGAAACCGAAGCCGAGGTCTGTACATGACAACGCCAACTGATTAATTGCTCCAGCGTCCAGTGCGAAGATAAATTGTCGTCGTTGCAAATGCATAAGGACTTCATGCGACATTGAGCCATGTAGCCTAACTATTAAGCATTAAAATTCCGTGAGACATACAGTAGTGTTAGTATTAGTCATTTACACGTAAATTTTGCTGTTGTCTTTATTGGTATATACATATTGCCTTCGTCTCATATGAAATTTTACATTGTTTCCTCGTTAATGTCAACGCATGAATTTAATAAGAAATACAGGTTGTATTATAGCATCGAGTTAGACCGCATTGAAGCAATTTTATGTAATCCCAAGTCCCAACTCTCTGTTCGGTTTTTTCTCTGTGTGTACACTTTTTAAACGTTTTTCCCGCACTTAAATTTTCCCATGTATCGTGAAGGTAACTTACGTACATAAATTTCGCAAGAACTAACATCCAGACCCGGAACAACTATTTATAGGCAACTATATATATAAATTTTAAGTCAATCGGGTGTATAGTTTCACATATATATATATATATCATACTTCGCCGGAGATGTTGACATAGCGTCTTTAATTTACTTACTAATTCAACATAAAAGTTCATAAAAAATGAAAATAAATTTCATTTCTACCGTGTTAATAAGTGTAACACCTTTTAATAAGTGGAACCTATTTTAATAAGTGCAACGCCTGTTAATAAGTGTAACGCCTGTTAATAAGTGTAACCCCTGTTAATAAGTGTAACCCCTGTTAATAAGTGTAACCCCAGTTAATAAGTGCAACGCCTGTTAATAAGTGTAACCCCTGTTAATAAGTGTAACCCCTTTTAATAAGTTTAACCCCTGTTAATAAGTGTAACCCCTGTTAATAAGTGTAACCCCTGTTAATAAGAGAAACGCCTGTTAATAAGTGTAACCCCTGTTAATAAGTGCAACCACTGTTAATAAGTGTAACCCCAACCCTGTTAATAAGTGTAACCGAACCCTGTTAATAAGTACCCTGTTAATAAGTGAACCTGGGGGACCTTATTAATAAGTGTAACCCCTGTTAATAAGTGTAACGCCTGTTAATAAGTGTAACCCCTGTTAATAAGTGTTACCCCAGATAATAAGTGAATAAAAATAAATTAGAAAAATTGATAAGATACATATTATTGTACACCACGACATTAAACAATGAGAGTTTTGCTTAAAACTTTCGAGCTAGGCCAAAGCATGTTATATTTTTAATTTGAATAGTGAAGGCAAAACATTGACTATAAAGCCGACTCGCACAATCAACTTACAAATTGACAGTTCAACAGAACAACAAAACTAAATCGAATGCATCCGATGAAACAAAACGATGGGTTTTGTTCATTTTAAAAGGCACAAGTATAGTTAGCATATAATAACGCCGAGTGGAACAATAAATCGTGTACACTTGATGGCAAAATAAGCAACAAACACTAAAATAATACTATCTACCACTTCAAAATATGACGGTCCGAGATAACACCAAAGGCGGGCGCCGATTGATACGAAAGTACTTAAGTTGTTTATATTTAAATTCGCAACCAACTTGACACAGACCGTATCGGCTACTTCAGTGGTGAGATAACAGTGTCCACAATGAGATTTATTGCATACTTTCCTTAACACGCGGCGTACTTAAAACCTTCTTATAAAAGTGTTACCCTGTCTGTTTCGCGCGTCTCAATTAGGATCCTAAATGGGACGGTTAATATTTTTTTGCTTCTGCGATCTCGAAGAAGATTAGAATCGAAGGCGTATTTTGAATCCTACAAACGTGCGCCTTATTGTCTTAAGTTGTATT